CTTAGCTCCCACGCTCCTCCGGCGAGCTAAGAAAATGTTTATCTCCCTGAGCCTGGCCTTCTTCATTCCATTCCATCACAGCCTGGCCTGGATTAGACTGCATTAGGTAGCAGATGGATGGGATTGGAATATAGTAAATGGATTAGTTTGGATTGGACTGGATTGGCCTGGATTAGATTAGACTGAGTTAGGGCAGATTGGATTGGACTAGATTAGAGCAAGTATCCGTAAACACGTCCTTGCTCAAATTGTCCAATGTGAACTATAAAATATATTTTAAATAAGGCAAAAGGAAAGATACTGTCCCGGTGAGCTTCTGATGTCCTCGCGTATTCCTGCCATCCCACAGATGTTTATTCTTGTTTACTTTCCTCCCCACACTCTTCGTTCGGGACCCCTTTATCCCAGTGGCTCAGCCTTTCTCTGCAGGATCTGCCTCTCACAGCACTGTTGCCTATGAGCAAGTTCTTATTTTAAGTGTTTCTCTGAACCAGTTCCCTAAACACGGGTTCTTCTTTTCTTCTGCTGTTCACAGACGATTCTTACAAGGGACATCATCACTCCCAAAGATATTAAACGGGCCCGTCTGCAGGCTCGGCCACTTCCAAAGCAGTCAATCATTGACTTCTTGATTGAAAACGCCGCAAAGATGATCTTGTACAAGTACAACTATGAAACCCTTCTTTCCGAGAAACTGGGTTTCATCTCGGTTCCGGTCACGAAAGTGTTGCTGGAAATCATGTTCGGCTACAAGAAAGTCAGGGGTAGTGGGATCCGTCTTTCTTCTCAGATTGACTGGACGAAAGTCTACGAGGAGGTCTACAAGAAGAGACCCCCCAAGCCCAAAGTGCCGAAACCGGACAAGAAGAAGGGTGGGGACAAGAAAAAGAAGAAACCCGGAGAGAAGACAAAAACAGACGAGAAGAAGACCACGCTCTTAAAACCCACAGGAGTACCAAAAGGAAAAGTCGTCGTAATGAAGTTGCCCGGGGAGCAGGACACGAAGTCCCACAAAACAGAAGGCTTAACTTCCATCACTGAGCAGGGGGAACCCGATATTTTTGAGATCGTCCCTCCACAATTTCCAACCGATACTGAACCAGACCAGGTCTCCGCCGATGAGTATGGTTTCACCCAACCATCAAGCTCAAGGCCATCGGCTATTGGAAGTCCAGACAGCGTGAAGGCCTCAACTGTTACAGTAGAAAATCCCAGGAAATTCGAAGATGCTCCAGGGTCTCCTTCAGCAGCTGGCACTCCAAGGCACTCACATTCCTCCCGAAAAGCCAACATCGCCCCTCAGAGTAATCGCGGGTCTACCGGTCTGTTACCAGAGGTGGAATCGACCAGCCAGCTGCCTGAAGCTCAGCTGAAGAAATCTTTTTCTCACAAGTCTAGCTTCGGTGGAGAAGGGAGCAAGACCGTTCTACCTAAAATCTGAAGCTCAACTTCTGTCTGATTAATAAGCACACATTTGTATACGGCGCCATAACTCAGATAAATGCCCTCGTTCCGCTGAATCTAACCGGTATCTCACCAGCAAGATGATCAGCCGGTTGGACTTTTGGAGGTTGAGTTTTTTCTTCATAAAATGTTGAGTTTATTCTTCCTAATCTGTCCTACCATCTTGTCAGAGAGGTGACGGAGCTCCCTCTGACGGTTATGTACTTTTTAACATTAAAAAGCCTTTTTTTCCTTGGTCTCCTATCTATCCTATGCTTTCTTTTGCCTGTTTAACAGAAGCCTCCTTGTCATTCTAGAAAAAAAAGTTTCAGGTCAGCAGAAAGAAGACGATCTTCTCGTTTTGAATTCACATCTCTGACTGTCCACCAGCAGCCCATCGGAAGATTATGGTTCTAAATCTGAGTTATGCTTGACCAGCAAAACTCTATCCAAGTTGGGAAGGAGGTAGCCAGATTGGAAATGTGCAATATGTCACGAAAGGCAAGTGGTGGGGCTCACACGGGTGGGGTTGATGGAGTCAGACTAAAAGGCATTGTTTCAGCCCAACAAGGTAGACCGGATTAAGAAACCATATAGGTTGGGCTACTCTTATTGTAAAGCTATAGTTGCAGGATTCTGTAAGTCTGAATATGCTTCCCCCTCCCTCACTTTATCTTCATGTGAGCTAGGGAGGGGCTTGTCTGAGACGTTTTTTCACATTACTTTCTTGGCCTGGACTCAAGCCCCTTTTATCTGACCACTGCCTTGGTACCTGCTCTTCCTCCTGTCCTTCAAGGCCATTCCCGCTTTCCTCCACAACTGTAGAGTGTTTGCTGCACACTTTACAGGAAACCTGTACAGAAAACTATACAGAAATGCCAGCAAATATGGGATTGGTTTTCTACAGCTGAAATTGATATTCCAGGGATCTAAGGCAGAAAAGCTAGGTGTGCCCCCTCCCAGACAGGAATGATCAGTTTCTCAGGGAATAGAAATGCACTGTGCAAAAGCTTCGATTTAACCAGATTACTTCCTCATTCATGTCTCCTTCCTTCCTTCCTTCCTTCCTTCCTTTCCTCCTTCCTCCCCTCCCTTCCCCTCCCCTTTCCTCCCCTTTTCTCTTTTTTTCTTTTTTTTTTCTTTTTTTTT